TGTGGCATATAATTCCCAGACCAGGGATCAAACTGGGGCCCCCTGCATTGTGAACATGGAGTCTCAGCCACTGGACCACCAGGGAAGTCCCTATTCTTGGTGGCTTATGCCCCTATACTTCCTCCTGGCCTTAACCACACTGCCTTGCTGAACTTGACCTTTGGAATGGTCTCATTGTTACCAGGTTCTTCGTGGGAATGACTCTCCCTGACCTCAGGGTCTTCTACAAATTTTCTCAGCCTTCCAATGGCTCCTCTCTGTCGCTGACCCCCTTTTTTTTACCATCCCAAGCTTACTGAGGGTTTTCGCTTTGAGTAGCATGCCGGAGTCCCCAGCATGAAGCATGATGCCTCAGCTCTGCCCCACGCAGACCCCCGGCTGTGGCCCTGCTCACCTGCACAGGGGGCATGCCGTTGTTGCTCTGCCGGAACTCGCCCTCGTCCCCCGCGCTGATCTCCTCATAGTCATCCAGCATCCGCACTCGCATGCCTGGCTGCAGCGTATCCCGCACATACAAGGCATAGGTATTGCCACTTGCGAACTCAGAGCGAGGTCGAAACCTCCTTGACCTCCTGCGGGAAGGCAAGGCCTGGGCAGGTGGGAGCCCTGGGCCCTCATCCACCAGCTGGGGCTGGAAGATGGAACCGGAGGGCTGTCCCGAGGGCCCCTGTCTGCTCCAGGCCTGGTCCCAGCGCATGGCCTGCACCAGCTCTGAGATCAGCGTGCCCATGGCCATGCTGAACTCCAGCTCCAGGCGACCCCTCTCCCCACTCAGCTCCTCAGGAGTGGAGTTTGGGGCTCCTGGTTCTGCAGCAGTGTCATTCAACTGATCCAGGAGGAAGGTGACATGCAAATAGTGCTTCACCAGGGAGAAGAGCAGCCTTCCTGGGACCTGCAGGACACAAACTTTGGTCTACATTTACCTTGTTCCAGCTTTCTCTCCACACTGTCCTCTGGGGACAGGTGCAAAGGCCTGGCCCCCAGGTTTTGTCCACAGCTCCCTCCCAACACTCCCCACAGAATACCTGTGGCAGCTGAATGCCCTCAAAAGACATCGGGTGTTCAGAGAGCGTGGCCTGGGCAAACAGCGCCAGCAGAGCACAGCGGCTGTCGAAATCCAGGTGTTTCTCAATGGCCTCTTGCTGGCTTAGTGAGAAAAGGATCTGGGTCCGGGTCCCTGGAACCCACATTCCAATCAGTAACAGCTCCTAACCTCATCCTCCCCAGACCCCTCTTGTGGACCCTCCACTCTTAGTTCACTCACTTTGCTGTCACACAGCAGAAGGACATGATTTGCTGATTGGCTTCAAAAGCCAAAGCTTACCATATTATTCTACCTTATTACTGCCTCATCTGCAAAAGTTTAAGTCTAAACTCTTCCTCCACCTAGGAAAACAGTTAACAGGAGGTTCTTGAAGATTCAGTCTTCCCTCTCTGCAGAGATGCCCGCACTCACCTTCCCACCTCCCTTTCTCCAATGCGAAGGGAAGGGTCACAGAATCATTTACATACTGCTGAGATCAGAGGTGCCTATCATAGGGCCCTGTGAGATGTTAAGCTGACCCAGCCCCTCTCCAGCTCCCCTTTCCTCCCCATGCTGCCCCTCACCAGCATCATGGGAGGCCAGGGCTTGAATCATCCGGCCTGCGCTCCAGCGAATTTGATAATCAGGACTGCTGAGCATGTGCATGAGCAAGTCCAGGACTCTTGGGTCTTTGAAGACCCCAGTGAGGGGCTCAATGCTGGCGTAGGCACTGAGCACATGGACAGTGTGAAGCAGAGGAGCAGGAGGAACAGTGCCCACACATTCCTCCAGCTGCCGAAGGGCCCTCTGAATCAGAGACTTCACGTCGGTTTCCATCTCCCCCAGCACGGATTTGTCCAGCGCTCCAGCCTCCCCTGCTGTCTCCTGGGAGGGCCCAATGACCTGGCCGTCCTCGCCCAGCATCTTGTGGCAGTTGGCATAGATTTCGTCATTGGACATCCATAGCAGGATGTGCTCAGCCTTGCAGTCCACGTGGTTGGAGCCCCCTTCCCCATCATCCCCACGCCGGAGGATGAGCCAGCGGATCTGGTACTCAGGATGCCCATCATGGCCCACTCGCTGGCGGATCAGCTCGTCCGGATAAGCGTGCAAGCCGGGCCCCAGGGGCACCCTGAATTCCCTGTAACGGAGTTCCCCTACCATCTTGGCACCTGGCAACACAAGGGAAAGAGAACAGGCAAGCTAGAGCTGAGAGGTCAGAAAATCAAGGACATCCAGGAGTTGGGACAGCAAATGTGGTAACAGCTGTCAGGCTGTTGGGTGGGGTGAAACAGGGTCCAGGAGTTGCCTGCTCTAGGCTGGGTGGGGCCAGGCCTAAGCAGAGGAATACCGGGGAGTTTGTTCTGAAAGAACTCAAAATTGGCGGGCTAAAAGGCAAGTCCAAGGCCCGGCATGCAGCATGGAGGGAGCTCATTTGGAGCAGTGGGGAGGGGACAGTGGGGGCAGGGAAGCCTTGGAATTAAAGTGAATCCCAGGGCCCTGGACAGGCTGCATTAGACCTGGGAAGGGGGTATGTGGTGCCCAGAGGGATGTGTGTTTTGGGGTGTTGAGGATGGAGAACAGAGTGTGTATGCAAAGGGGTGGTAGTAGCTCTAATGGTTGAAGCACGAGAGAGTCTGCAGGAACAAGAGACCCCGAGATCTGGTGATGGAGCAAAAGCGCAGGGCCCGACGGGCTGGGAGGAGGGGCTGGTGGGCTGAAAGCACCCAAGGCTGGAGGCATTGGAGCATCAGGGTTGGTGGGGGCGACGTGAGGACCCGAACAGTGTGCACAGGAGACCTGGTGGGTGAGGGGCGCGCGGTTTGGGGGACCAAGATGGAAGGCCGAAGCAGCCAGGGGCGCGCGGCAAGGTATGGGGAGGGAGGGGGGAGGGGGCCAGGCCCGAGAAACGAGATTCCCGAGGCGCGGCGGGATAGGGGACTCGAAGCCCGGGGGTGGGGGGCTGGGGGTGAGTGGGCGGAAGAAAAGCCGGGCTCGGGGCGGGGGGCCGCGGCGGGGCTCGGGCCACCTCAGAAGTCGATGGGGGTCCCAGCGCGTGGCCTGTCCTTCGCCGAGCTAGGAACGCGGCACAGACGATGGCGGCGGCGCCGGCGGAGATTTGGGCTCCGCCTGGGCCCCCCGAAGGGGTCGAGGCGGAGAGGCGGGAGGGGGCGTGTCTCTGCAGGCCTGGAGGCCGCAGGGGGCGTGGCGCGTGGGCCCGAGCGCCCGGGGGGCCGTCAGCGCCCCGCCCGCGCGCAGATCCGCGGCCTCCCGGGCCCGGCAGGGCGGGGCCCGTTCTCCACCCGCGGCGCCGCCCGCCAGCCTCGGGAAGCCCCGCCGCCCGCCCGCTCCGAGCCGCCGCTCATTTCCGCCCCGCCCAGCCCGGCGGAACACTGGGGGCCCCAGGGGAGCGCTGGGGCGGAGCCGCCGGTGCCACCTCGGCGACGCACGGCGCCTCCTCTCCGGCGCCGCCCTTTCCTCTTCCTTTTCGTCCCCCTCCTCCTGCCACCGGAAGTACCTGCCCCTCTAACCAAAGTCAGACCTGGAGACAACTTTGGAGGTCATTTACTCCCCCTCCGTGACGTATAGAGGGATCGAGGCCACGGGGCGGCTGGAAGTGAGACGGGGGGCGGGGGGGGGGGGGGACACGGCCCCAGTTGTCACCCCATATTTTCCTTTCTCCTCCCCCAACGGTTTACTTCCGTCCCCTCCAACACCTGTCCAGTAATGTACCATCCTCCCCAGAAAAACCAGAAATAGATTTAAAAAAGAATGGGGGCCATTTTATTAGAGTCCAGGAATATCAGCTTTGGGCAGCACCTGAGGGCAGCTTCACGTAACTCTTCATGGGGGGCAGCGGCCGGATCTTTCGGCCTGCCCAGCCCCCCTTGCGGTGCCACAGCCCACTGTTCGGCCTCTTTCCCAGCCAGCGGTTCCGCCCAGCCTTGCCGATGACCCGTTTGTTGTGATCAACGTTGGAGACTCGGCCCACTGTGGCTGTGCACGTCTCCAGCACCTGATGGAGAGAGCAAATGGAGGGGAATGCACCATGGGGGGAAACAGCCTGACACGTTGAGGGCAGGGACCCTGGGGAACTTCTCAAACTCAAAGAGAGAAGGGGAGAAGATACGGGAAAAGTACAACATAACTGAACCCGAATGCAGGTCTAACAGTAGTTGAGAATGAAAGGCACTGTTCCCTACTGCCAGCCTGATGAGGCACTCCTGGTCACATGGGAGAAAAGGACAGACCTAGCTCCAGGCACTTCCCAACATAAAACACCTGGGAGCTATCCCGGACAGGTAAGGTACATTCCAAAAATTCCTCCTGTACTGACCCCTCCCACCTGCACTCCCCCCGCAACCCACCACACACCTGCATCTGCCTCTTAGAGGGTAGCTGGATAATGGCTGTCCCGTTCACCTTCCGTAGCAGCACGCCACAGGTCCCTGGGGAAGGGAAGAAACAGTTGCGACCCTCCACAGAGCAGGAGGTGGGGGCAGATTTTCCAGGGCCACCACCCCACACACTGCCCTTGCTTTCCCTTTGAGGGGCAGAAACACTGAAAGCAGGAGGCATGTGTGGTTTTAGGTCAAAAACACAACCACCTCTTCAGCCTTGTTTTTTCCTCTTTTTTCTCTGCCACTGGACAAGATGTGGGCCCATGGGTTCAGAGAGCTGCAACCTCAAGTACCCCCTGGCCTTTCAAACTGTAAGATCTCAACAAGTTCCTTTTTTCCTACCTGCGGCTCGGATATACTGGGCCCCGCGGCCTGGCTCACTCTCCACGTTGTTGATGAGGGTCCCCACTGGCAAGGCCCCAAGAGGATGGGCGTCCCCTTCCCGAGCAGCAACTAAAAGACAGAATTTCGTCAGCACCAGCGCCCTTGAGCCTCTCAGCCCACGCACACCTGGTGGCCATCACTCACCTGCCATTCGGCCTATGTGGTCCGAGTTCAAGATGGTATCTCCAGCCTTCATGTTTTCTGTGGCAATGATCCAGCGTTTCCGGTTGCCCCCAGCAACCAGAGCTATATCTGCTGACCTGTGCAGAGTGAGGGACAGGTAAGCAAACCACCTAGGCAGCTTCACATCTCTTGAAAAGCCACAGACCACTCAGCCAGCCACACCACCACTTCACATCCCAAACTTGCCTACAGGGATCATAGCGGACAGAGAGGACCTTCTCCTCAAAGGGTCCTGGCTTGGATTCCTGCTCTGGCCGGAACCGCAGAAAGTCAATCATTCGATAACGCTGCTTGTGGCCCCCGCCAATACCATGCACCTGGATACGGCCTGTGGTCAGGATAGCACAGGATCATGATTGGGTCAGATGAGTCAGTTCCCAGCACTGGGAACAGACACATCCTAGGCAGAGGGCAGTACTTTCCCAACATTACGACACAAGCAGAAAACGATTAAAATTTGCATAGCACAATGGGATAAGTGGGAGTGAACACCCACATGGAACTTCGTAAAAACACAATTACAGGGGGTGCTTCCCTGCTGGCTCAGTGGTAAAGAAGCTGCCTGCCAATGCAGGAGACAGAGGTTTGAACCCTGGTCTGGGAAGATGCCACATGCTATAGGGCAACTAAGCCTGTGTGACACAACTTGAGCCTGTGCTCTAGTGCCTGGGAGCTGCAAGTGCTGAGCCCACATGCTTCAACTACTGACGCTTGAGCACCCTAGAGCCGGTGCTCCACAAGAGAAGGCAAGTAGCCCCAGCTTGCCACAAGTAGAGAGAAATCCTGAGCAGCAACAAAGAGCCAGTACAGCCAAAAATAATTTTTGAAGGGTGTGCAGGAAAATGTCATGGGACTTCCTGAGTATGTCCAGTTTTCTTCCATTATCTATCTTTAGGAACACAGGCTATTTATGTTGTTTTATATTCTGTTCTCTCACTCTTACACACATACTACATGCATAAAAGGAGTCCAATAAATGCTTTTTAATTACATTCCTCTGCCAGTATCAAAATACAGGCCAAGGGTCCTACCATGTTTTTGCTCTTTACTGCTGAAATCTTCTTGCCCTTGTTCTTACCTGTGTGGTTTCGGCCCCCAGACTTCCTCATCTTTACTGGCATAGTGGTATATTTCGTACGACTCTTCCAGGACACAAACTTAGCACTAAGGGCCACAGAGGTAAGGACTGGGCGGCAGGGAAGCAGCATCGACGCAGAGGGCAGCTGAAGGAGGACATTGTTTGTCACCTAGAAATAAACAGAAATCTTTTTCACTTGAAAGCTAATTGAAGGAGAAGCCTCAGAGAACCAAGGGAGAAGGCACAAAGTTTAGCTTGTGGCTTCCTTCCTCCTGGAAACGTCCCAGACTAGCTACCCCCAAAGTCCACCCTTCACAGCCTGCACAAATACCAGTTCAGAATGCTTATCTGGGTGCATGTGTGTTGATCACCTCTCCTCATCTGATCCTCTCACCTCTGAAGTATTTCTTCAATGGAATTTTCTCCCCTTGGTGCATCTTCTTCCAAATTTGCCTCAAAACTCTCCTCTAAGAAACTTTTCCTTCCTTAAACAACTACCTTCTCCAGTGCTGGTTAATTCCTATATATCTATGTACCACCATCAGCACCAATGCCTTCTACCCCTTTTGCTGCATGTTTCTGAGAATTTTCCAAACATGAATGGAAGGGAGAGATCACTTATGTCTTGTTCCCTGCTGTTTTCTCAGCATTTCACACAGTAGGTTGGTTTGGTTTTGAATTTGAAGTACACAACTGCCAAACTCTACCATCAGTCTGAAAGGTCCAGAGAGGGTAAGACTAACTTTCCTGTAATCACTAGTTACCCATGGCAACAAACTGGCACTTGCCATGGGTGCTTGCCATCTCTCTCTACAAGGATTAAATCATGTGCTGCTGTAGCTGCTGACCTCCAACACCCCCTGATGGAGCTCAGGATGGAGAGCAGAAGTGAGGCACCTGGGTTCCCAAAAACCTGGCACGACAGATTTTCAGATAGTTAGATATTCTCAGGAGCTGATTTTTATGAGTCCAATTCTTTTTATCTACTCTTATAGAGAAAAACACTAAAATTCTTCATGGTAACAACTGTTTCTCGTGACTAGCAGAAGCTTCACGAAACCAGCAGAAACATTTTTTTAAAAAATGTGCTTGATTGCAGCCCACTCCCCCTTTACCAAAATCACATACATACTGTCCTTCCCTTCTACCTCTCTGGAGCAGTTTCTCAGAGCTATCTGAGGTGCTATCTCCTGGGCTGCAGTCCTCACATTTCCCCAAATAAAACAACTCTCATGCCATGCATTTTTTAAGTTGACACTCATTAGGAACTTTGTGATATCTTCATGTTAGTCTCCAATTCTCGGTTATCTTGATCTTAATTCCGTAATTTCAGTAGTAACTCATCCTTAATGGTTATAATAATGGTTAAGAGTCCGGGCTTTGAAGCCAGACTGCCTAGCTCCAATGGTTGGTGTATCACCTTGGACTACTGATGTATTCTCATACGTAAACTGGGACTGATAATAACTGTAACTGGTTGAAAGGAATTCTCTTATTTAAAACGTCTATTATGCTTGTCTTATAAGAAAACAATAAATGTAAGTTACTGAAACTTGTACTTTTGTCTACAAGTCACTTTCACCTTCAATATCTCGTTTGAGGACTCCAGTGACCCTGTGAGATAGCAACACTTAGAAAGAAGAAAGCTGAGGCTGAGTGACTTATTAAGGGTCACGGGCCGATGTGACTCCTAATCAGACTCTCATCTCCCACCTCGATTCTCCTGGAGACCCCTCTCCGGCAGCCGGAGTGGAAACAACTACCTTCCCGGGTAAGATGGATTACCTGGGCGGCTGGGAGCAGGCTTGGGCCAGGGATGGCGGCAATCCGGGGGGTCAGGCTCAGTGAGCCAAGAGCGCGAGTCACTGCCCGCAGGGCCATGAGTTTGGCCACACTCGAGCGTGCTCAGCACTCCACCATCACCTTTAGCCTGGCCGCCTGGCGCTGCTGGATGACGCTACATGTCCCCGTGCCGTCGCTCCAACCGGACGTAAAAAGAGGCGGGCCGAGAACCCGACAAAAAGCTAGATACAGATCTCCTTTCTTCCCTGAGCATAGTATAACCAATCCCGGAGCGACTCTTGGGTCGCGTGACTAGGGAACAGGTCCCGCCCCTCGGAGCCGTCAAAACAATTGCCTCGAGCGGCAGCCATGATAGATTTAAAGGGGCAGTACCGGCAGGAGCGGCAGCCAGATCAACAGACTGCGGGTAAGTCTTTGAGGGTACCTCTGGGGCTGAGAGTTGAGGTCCCGCTACCTCTTTGCTGCACTCCCGGAAATATGAACAAATAAGCCCCTCTGACTGAACTCACAGAACGCCAGACTCAAAAACTCCGCCCCCCGCGATTCTTCCCGCCCCTCGACATCCGGACGGACGGACCGACGGCCTGCCCCGCCCCCTGCGCTACCGACTGACTCAGTAACCTCGGGATTGTCAGGCCCCAGGTCTTTGCTCGCGACGTGGACCTCGGTCGCCCACCCGCATCTTCTGCCGTCACCCCGGCCCATTTCTCTCTATCCACACCCTGGGCCTCAGGGCAGGTCGACAGCCTGGGACACTTCTCCACCGCAGTCCCAGGCCGCCCGGGAGATCAACTCCCAGCGCCGCATTTCCCTGCGATCCCACAGCCGCTCAGCGGACCTGCCATTCTTCCCAGCATCTTCGGGCTTCTGGGAGGCACCCTAAGGTGACTCCTCTCAGAGTCTGTTAGTGTGTGGTCGTGATAGACACAAAGCCATAGAAGTGACTGGGTTAGGAGTGACCAGGTCTTCCTTCTCCCCCGTTCCCAGACACGCCCCTTGCCGCAGGTCTCAGATTCAATCTCACTCCCTTCTTGGGAGAAAATAGCTCCCCAGGCTTGGCCTGGGAGGTTGGCTTGGGGAAGGAGGAGGGACGTTGGTCGTCTTTGAAGACCTGTAGGCAACGGAGGGAGGGCGTTTGTCCTGGGTGGGGCTCCATGCCAGGTCCTCTGGGTGGCTGTGAAGTGGTGAGGGAAGGGGTGGGAACGCTGGACTTCTGGACTTTGGGCAGGGCAGATCCTCCTGAGTCCCTGGCTGCTTGAACAGAGTTTCTTCCGGGCTCCTGCCTGAACACCACAACCAAGGGCTCTATACAGGTAAGAAGACTTCAAAGATGAGAAGCAAGGCCCTTTTGAGGAAGTAGGAGACAGCCTGGAAGAAACAGAGCTGACCAGGCATGGAGATGCTGGGCTTAGCCCCGCGAGTGACTCAGCCTGAACACCTTGAGCCTCTAGGCCCCTCTCATCTGTGATGAAAGCCCAGTCTTTTTTGTCTCCCTCGCTTTCTTGATTTAACTTTGAAACTTATTCCTTCCCCTCTTTGCACTGCAGTATTTTCTGCATAGCTTCTGCCTGCTTTAACTCCATTCCCTTTGCAGCTCTGTCGGACACCCTCTGTGTTTTCTGTGGTGCTGTCTCCTTTCCTGATTCCTTTTCCTAACCCAAACTCTCTCTTCTCCAGCTCCTTTTTTTAAATTGTGTTGATTCTAAATCCTGCTGCTACTTCTCTGCACCTTTGTTCTTTCTACAGTTTTTCTTCTTTCAAGTCAATTCCTCTCCTCTGTTTTTCCCACAACCTTGGTTTGTGTCTAGCGTCGTTCCAGGCTGTCTGCTCACTGGTCACTCTCCCTCCAGTTAAACTTCAGGGTCCCCCCACCCCCACCCCTGCAATGGTCTCTTGTCCCTTCGCTTGGATCCCTACTGCCCTCTAATCAAGGCACACAGCCACTCTTTCCTAATCTTTACCCCAGCCGAACTCTGTTGTTTCTCTGTAGCCCAGGCAAGGTCCCCCAGCCAGGATGTCCGGCCTGGTGTTGGGACAGCGGGATGAGCCTGCAGGGCACCGGCTCAGCCAGGAGGAGATCCTGGGGAGCACTCGTCTGGTGAGCCAGGGGCTGGAAGCCCTCCACAGTGAACACCAGGCTGTGCTGCAAAGCCTCTCCCAGACCATCGAGTGTCTGCAGCAGGGCGGCCATGAAGAAGGCCTGGTGCATGAGAAGGCCCGGCAGCTGCGCCGTTCCATGGAAAACATCGAGCTGGGGCTGAGTGAAGCCCAGGTGAGTGGGAGGAGGTGGTGCCAAGTGGCCCTGGGTAGATGGAGGAGCAGTTGTCTCATGGGAGCTTTGGGGTCATTTGGGATCCCCTTGTCCTAGCAGCTTGGATTCATTCACCCGATAAGTATGTATTAAGTCTCTGCCACGTGCCAGACCCTACTTCCCAGACACGTCAATGAACAAGATCAGCCATAAGTCTTGGCCGTCTTGGAGCTTACATTCTAGCTGGGAGAGGCAGGCTTTAGATAAATAAATAAATGACTCAGTATGCCAGAGTGATAATCATTAAGGGCAAAAGGATAAAAATCAAGCAAGGAAGGGGGTTGGGGTGTATGGGGAGAGGATGCAGTTTTAGATAGGGAGGCCAATAGGAGCCTCACTGAAAAGGTCTCATTTGAGCAAAGAATTGAAGACAAGGGAATGAGTCACACAATAAATGGGGGAAGAACATCCAAAGTACTGTGTGAAGGCCTCAACCTGGAGCCTTTCCTGTGAGTTCAGTGAAAGGCCCGTGTGGCTGGAGGACTGTGAATATGGGAAAGCAAAATAGAAAATGAAGAGGCAGCTGGGGTGGGGGCAGATCACGTGGAACTGTAGGCCATCATAAGGACTCGGCTTTTACTTTGAGTGAGATGGAAGCTATTGGAAGTGGTGACCAGAGGAGTGATGTGGTCTAACATTTTGAAAAGATTGTCATCTGGCTGCAGGGTTGAGAACAGACTCTAGGAGAACAGGGGCAGAAAGAAGGAGACCAGTGAGGAGACAATTACCGTAATCCAGGTGGGAATTGATAGTGACTTGGCCCAGGCTGGCCCTGGAAGTGGTGAGAAATTTGATTCAGGGTATATTTGGAAGGTAGATTCATCACTACCCCACCCTACCTCTGGGTCTTGCCGGCTCCCCTCCTGCCTACCCCTCAACTCTCTTAGCTGGAGCCCAGTGCTCACAGGATGTGCCCACCTAGGTGATGCTGGCTTTGGCCAACCACCTGAGCACAGTGGAGTCGGAGAAACAGAAGCTGCGGGCGCAGGTCCGGCGGCTCTGCCAGGAGAACCAGTGGCTCCGGGACGAGCTGGCCGGCACCCAGCAGCGGCTCCAGCGCAGCGAACAGGCTGTGGCTCAGCTGGAGGAGGAGAAGAAGCACCTGGAGTTCCTGGGGCAGCTGCGGCAGTACGACGAGGATGGGCACGCTGCGGTGAGCATGCTCGGGGCAGCTGGGCTCGCCACACGCACAGGCCAGTGGCTGCTGCATCCTCTGGAGGACCAGCAGCCCTGCCCGACCGGCCCCCACCTGGCAGAATTCAGGTCCTGACACCAACTCCAGAGGACAGCAAGGGAGAAGCCAGTCACTCGTTCAGTCAGCATTTGATTCAATGACTGCTATGTGTCAGGCGCATTCTGCTGGGGGTGCAGCAGTGAACAGGACAAAGTTCCTGCTCCCATGATAATAGATTTTTGGCATTTGGACAATTCCAATTTAGAATCCTAAGCGCTGTAGGTAGGGAAAACCCAGCCCAGTCGAGCAAGTCCTTCTAAAATTTTCTGTCGAAATGTGTGGAATTTAACCTTCACGCAACAGGCATTTATATTTCTCTGTGCCTTAGGCAAGGCAAGATGTATGTCAGGTAGATCTAAGAAGCTACAAAACAGAGTTCCTGCCTTCTCAAGCTTATAATGTAGCTGTAGGAACAAGACTTACGTGTGAGAACACGTATGTGACAAGACAAATCAGCCAGTGCCCAGTGCTGAAGGAGAGGTTCAGGCAGTATGGGAGGAATCCCAAGGAGATAGGTTCGTAGCGGCTGGGACGGACTGAAAGATTCACAGCAGAGGCGGGGTACAGGGATGGGTAAGATTTAGGTTGGATTATTTTATTTAACTGGATTAGGAATTGGGGTGGATTTTGATGGTCTATGAGGGAGAAGGGGGAGCTCTCTAGATCAGGTGTGTGTGTGTGTGTGTGTGTGTGTGTGTGAGATAAGGCACCAGGGCTGGAAAGGTGGCCTGACCCAGGGACAGTGAGATGATTTGACAGTGGGTCACCCTGGTGAAGCTAGGCAGGAGGGTTGGAAGTGTTTGTACAAGGCTCCAGTGCTTGTTGAGGCAAAGCGTTTTTGCCTAGTGTGAAAGTAGATTGACAGTGAGAACTGGGCATCTCGTCCAGAGCAAGCGGTGGCAGATGATGGACACCAGGCAGAGCCAGACACTCTGGGTATGTGTCAATAAGATAGGACACACCCCTGCCCGCAGGAGAGACAGGACAGACATGTAATCAGTGTAAACACATGGGGATCAGTGCAGGACTATAATTACCAGAGTCGAGGGAGAAAGAGATGGCGGTGAGGGTACTGAGGAAGGAAACTCTGGATATGAAGGAACGGAAAGTCATGAGATTTTTGGCTGAAGCATCTCTTGTTTGTTTGGGTTTTTTTGTTGTTGTTGTTGTTGTTTTGGTTTTGGCTGTACTGCATGGCTTGGAGGATTTTAGTTCCCCAACCAGGGATCAACCTGCGCTCCCCTCCAGCAGAAGCTCGGAGTCTTAACCACTGGACTACCAGAGAAACCCCCATCTTTGTTTTTTTTATGAACAAGAGAGGCCTAGGCTTGGCAGGACAGATGCTGGCCTTCCCAGGGGCAGGGACAGTGACAGGGGATTTGTCCTAGACCCCACCTATCAATGATGTCATGGTTTAGAGGGGGCTTGAAGAGGCTGCCAGGGCTATCTCATCTCAGACATGCTGCTGCTTCCCTTCCAGGAAGAGAAGGAAGGTGATGGCTCCAAGGATTCCCTGGATGACCTCTTCCCCAACGAGGAGGAAGAGGACCCCAGCAATGGCTGTGAGTCTGCCTCTGGAGTTGGAGGGTGAAGTGGGGGCAGCAGGGGGCTGGTGAACAAGGATGGTCACCGTCCAGGAATGGGTTCTCCACTGCCTCAGGAGATGGGTTAGGGACCAGCACTTTGATTCCCTCAGCTTTCCCCTTATTCATCAACATTTATTAAGCACGTAGCCCATGCCAGGCACTGTGCTGGGCACCAGGGAGTCCAAGATGAGAATGACATGGGTCTTGCTGGTAAGGAGCTCACTCAAGACTGGGAGAGTGCCCCTGGAGTGAAGAGCATGAGCTCCTCAAGGGAAACGACCAGGTCTTTCTTATCTTTGTATCTCTGGTGCAGACCCTTCCTCAGGATTTCTGAGTAGTTTTTTTTTTTTTTAATTGTGCTGGGTCTTTGTCATTGTGTGCCGGCTTTCCCTAGTTGTGGCCAGTCAGGGCTACTCTTCGTTGCGGTGCTTGGACTTCTCATTGCAGTGGCTTCTCTTGCTTCTGAGCACAGGCTTTAGGCACATGGTCTTCAGTGGTTGCAGCACTCAGGCTTTATTTTTTTTTTTTTTTGTTGCTTAAATTTTTATTTATTTATTTATTTGTGGCAGTGCTGGGTCTTCACTGCTGCCTGGGCTTTCTCCTACTTGCGGTGAGCAGGGGCTGCTCCCTAATTGGGGAGCACAGGCTTCTCATTGCAGTAGCTCCTCTAGCTACAGAGCACAGACTCTAGGCACATGGGCTCCAGCACGTGGGCTCGATAAGCACTCAGGCTTTAGAGTGAGGGCTCAGTTGTTGTGGGGCATGGACTTAGTTGCCCTGTGTCATGTGGAATCTTCTCAGACCAGGGATTGAACACGTGTCTCTTGCACTGGCAGCCAGACCGTCATCCAGTGTACCACCAGGGAAGTCCATTGAGTAGTTTGTTGAATGAATGCATGACTGAGTGAACAAATGGGATTGTGATGGGCAAAGAGGTGAGCAGAGGAGTAGCAGTTGAGGGACTTCCCTGGCGGTCCAGTGCATAGGAATCTGAGCTTTCACTGCTGTGGGCCTAGGTTTGATCCCTGGCTGGGGAACTAAGATCCTGTAAGTTGTGGTGCAGCCAATAAAAATTTAAGAAAAGAGTAGCAGTTGAGGCAGGTCTTTCGGCAGTCAGGGAGCCTGGTGGGGATTGGTCACAGGCAGGGAGAGAGACTTGAGTGGGGAGGGGTGGGCGGACAGCGGAGGGAGAGCGGGTGTCATCTGAGGGAGTCTCTGTCGTCTTCTGCGACGGGGGTAGTGTCCCGTGGCCAGGGCGCCCAGCACAGCGGCTATGAGATCCCGGCAAGGTTGCGGACACTGCACAACCTGGTGATCCAGTACGCAGCCCAGGGTCGCTATGAGGTGGCCGTGCCGCTCTGCAAGCAGGCGCTGGAGGACCTGGAGCGCACATCTGGCCGCGGCCACCCTGACGTGGCCACCATGCTCAACATCCTGGCTCTAGTGTATCGGTGAGTGCTACTTCCTCTCAGGACCCTGCCTCCAGGTGTGGCCCCACCTTGATCCACCTCTGGCTTTCATTCCTCCTCTCCACAGGGTACCTCTTCTCCCCCCCACCAGGGGGCTTCCTTGTCTCATGCTTTTCCACCTGAGCCCTTGACCTCAGAATCCTCACCCCTCAGGCTTTTGGCTGCTCCCATCTCTCCTCTGGGGAGGGTCTTTTTCTCTGTTTTTGTCTCCTGTGTCCTGTGCCTTTGGCCTGCTCTGGGCATGGCCACTCTCTGGGGGTGGCGGTGAACCCCTCTCACTTCTCCCACCAGGCTTCCTGTCTCCTCATGGCAGGGCCCAGTCCCTAAATGTGCCTTAGCTATCCCGAAGGGAAGGAAGTAAGGAGATGGCTCAGGGGCAGAGTTTGGGCTAACCCTTTGTCGCTTTTGTCCTCTTACAGGGACCAGAATAAGTACAAGGAAGCGGCCCTCCTGCTCAATGATGCCCTCAGCATCCGGGAGAGCACCCTGGGCCGGGACCACCCTGCCGTCAGTACTCCTTGCCCTCCTTGCCCTGTCTTCCTCTGCTTGTCCATCTGCTGCCCTCAGCCCACTCCCAGGGGTTCTCAGGAGGGAGGCGTGAGGACTCCTTTCTCCTACTGTCCACCCATCCCAGTGGTTCTCAGCTCTCTCAGACCCAATATCTTCTTTTTTAAACACATTTTAGTTGCAGTATAGTTGCTTTACAGTGTCGTGTTAGTTTCTGCTGTACAAAGGCATGAATCAGCCATATGTACACATATGTCCCCCTCCCTCTTGAGGCTCCTCCCCACCCCTTTAGGTCATTACAGAATATACAGCTGAGTTCCCTGTGATGACTCCTTCTTATAATGAATATTTTCCTGAAATTTAACTCATATAATGTAATCTACCTACCTGTAGAATTTCCTCAAAAGTTGGATGATACTCTATTAATATAAGAGAGAAACAAGGAAAGTAACTTATAATAAGATATATAATACTTGACAGTGAAGCGAAAACACAGTAACAGTTGTGTTGAGTGCAGCAATGTTAGAAGACATCGTAGTCTGATATACAATGAATGAAAAAATTTAGATGTGAAAGTCACTCAGTCATATCTGACTCTTTGTGATCCCATGGCATATGCAGTCCATGTAATTCTCCAGGCCAGAATACTGGAGTGGGTAGCCGTTCCCTTCTCCAGGGGATCTTCCCAACCCTGGGATCGAACCCAGGTCTCCCGCATTGCGGGTGGATTCTTTACCAGCTGAGCCACAAGAGAAGCCCTTTAGATGTAGAAGAAGTAAAAACTAGTAAGTCTTTTTATGTAAAAGTATGTACTAGGAATGTGAAGTCAAGTGGGCCTTAGGAAGCATTACTGTGAACAAAGTTGGTGGAGGTGATGGAATTCCAGTTGAGCTATTTCAAATCCTAAGAGATGATGCTGTTAAAGTGCTGCACTCAATATGTCAGCAAATTTGGAAAACTCAGCAGTGACCGCAGGACTGGAAAAGGTCAGTTTTCATTCCAATCCCAAAGGAAGGCAATGTCAAAGAATGTTCAGAATACTGCATAATTGCTCTCATCTCACACGCTAGCAAATAATGCTCAAAATTCTCCAAGTCAGGCTTCAACAGTATGTGAACCGAGAACGTCTAGATGTTCAAGCTGGATTTAGAAGAGGCAGAGGAACCAGAAATCAAATTACCAACATCCATTGCATCATAGAAAAAGCAAGAGAGTTCCAGAAAAATACCTACTTCTGCTTTAGTAACCATGCCAAAGCTTTTGACTGTGTGGATCAGAACAAACTATGGAAAATTCTTCAAGAGATAGGAAAACCAGACCACCTTACCTGCCTCCTGAGAAATCTGTATGCAGGTCAAGAAGCAACAGTTAGAACCGGACATGGAACAACGGACTGGTTCCAAATTGGGAAAGGAGTACATCAAGGAGTATATTGTCACTCTGCTTATTTAACTTCTATGCAGAGTAGATCATGCAAAATGCTGGGCTGGATGGAATCAAAAGATTGCCAGGAGAAATATCAATAACCTCAGATATGCAGATGACATATCTGACACCCTTATGGCAGAAAGCGAAGAAGAATTAAAGAGCCTCTTGAAAGTGAAAGAGGAGAGTGAAAAAACTGGCTTAAAACTCAACATTCAAAAAACAATGATCATGGTATCTGGTCCCATCACTTCATGGCAAATAGATGGGGAAACAATGGAAAAAGTGAGAAAAATCACTGAAGATGGTGACTGCAGCCATGAAATTAAAAGATGCTTGCTCCTTGGAAGAAAAACTATGACCAACCTAGACAGCACATTAAAAAATAGAGACATTACTTTGCCAACAAAGGTCTGTCTAGTCAAAGCTATGGTTTTTCTAGTAGTCATGTATGGATGTGAGAGTTGGAATGTCCAGAAAACTGAGTGCTGAGGAATTGATGCTTTTTTTGGAATTGATGCTTTTGAACTGTTGTGTTGAAGACTCTTGAGAGTCCCTTGGACTGCAAGGAGATTCAACCAGTCAATCCTAAAGGAAATTAGTCCTGAATATTCATTGGAAGAACTGATGCTAAAGCTGAAACTCCAATACTTTGGCCACCTGATGAGAAGACTGAATCATTGGAAAAGACCCTGATGCTGGGAAAGATTGAGGGCAGGAGGAGAAGGGAATGACAGAGGATGAGATGGTTGGATGGCATCACCGACTCAATGGACATGAGTTTGAGCAAGCTCTGGGAGTTGGTGATGGACAAGGAAGTCTGGTATGCTGCAGTCCATGGTGTCACAAAAAGTCAGACATGACTGAGTGGCTGAACTGAACTGAACTGATGTACTAGGAAAAGGACAGAGCAGGAGTTCCCTGGTGGTCCAGTGGTTAGGACTCCATGCTTTCACTGCCAAGGGCCTGGGTTCAATCCTTGTTCAGGGAACTAAGACCGCACAAACTGCATGGTACACCCAAGGTAATAATAATAGTAATGTCAACAATAATAATAAATACAACTTTAAAGTTAAAAATGACAGAGCAGAAACATTGGCATATATAAGATTAAAATCCAGTGTTAGATTAAGTAATAATAGACCAGATTTCTTTGTGATAAGAGAAAGAGAAATAACTTTAAGTAGGGTCAGCATGTAAAACAAATGCTAGATGTGTCAAAGGGGAGAAGACGAGAAATAAGGTATTTTTGAAAATGAGCTGGCTGGAAAAGAATTCCCTGTGTTATGACATGTGATAGGCAAGGATGATGTGTCTCAGAAAACATAACTCCTGTCTTGATATCCCACCAAGTGTCAAAGCTTATATTTAGTGTTTGAGTGTCTGGCAGAACAGTCAAAAGTTGCCTGAGCTGTCCCATACAGACACCACATCTGTAGCATACTTGCTCCCCCAAAGGTATTAGTGCCCATAGTCTTTATGGCAACCGAAGGAAACCCCGCCTCCAGAAATGTCTAAAAATCTCCTTAGAGCGTGAGACCACCCCCGTGGAGAGCCTCAGAGCCTTGGGGGGTCAGCACTTTCCTCTCCCCGCAAGCACCTGTGGCTCAGGTGGCAGAGTCCATTTGTCTGGGAATTGGGCAGCATGGGGCCCTGCTGTTCCAGGCCCTTTGTCTGATGGGGACAGGTCTGTCTTCCTAGGTGGCGGCCACACTCAACAACCTGGCTGTGCTCTATGGGAAGAGGGGCAAATACAAGGAGGCGGAGCCGCTGTGCCAGCGGGCACTGGAGATTCGAGAAAAGGTGCCTCTGCCCTCCGCCCGTTCTTCCCTGTTGTGGTGAACCCTCCTCCCCCCGTCTCTCTTCTGATCTACCCTTTTCCCTTCACTTCTTTTTGACTCACCCTCCGTCTCTCCGTTCCCTGTTCCTTCTTTCCCTTCCCCTGCTCCTTGCATGGGTGTGCGCGTGCACACACACACACACACACACACACACACACACACGCATAGTCACAGCCATCTGTCTCTCCTTTGCACCACTCCAGGTCCTGGGTACCAACCACCCGGATGTGGCAAAGCAGCTGAACAACCTGGCCCTGTTGTGCCAAAACCAGGGCAAGTATGAGGCTGTGGAACGCTATTACCGGCGGGCACTGGCCATCTATGAGGGGCAGCTGGGGCCGGACAACCCTAACGTAGCCCGGACCAAGAACAACCTGGTAAGGGAGGGAGGGGCAGAGGCAGTGGGAGGAGGGCAGTGGGTGCACCGTAGTCTGGTACACGGGCCTCATTGCCTTTGTGCCCAGCCCGGGGGCTGCCTGTGGGTACTGAGGGGTCTGCTCCCTTCCCGTGGGAAGGCAGAAGTTCCATAGCCTCTCTGGAGTGGAGTGGGAACACCCTGGACCCTGCAGCTGGACAAGGAGTGGGTGAGGAAGATCTCTGGGGAAAGTCCTAAAGAGACCAAGAAGTAGAAATGCCAGGCCTGGCTGAGAGTTCGTCTCCACCTCTTGCTCCCGTGTTCTTGCCTTCCCGCCCCCAGGCTTCCTGTTACCTGAAACAAGGCAAGTATGCTGAAGCGGAGACTCTCTACAAGGAGATCCTGACGCGTGCCCATGTGCAGGAGTTTGGCTCTGTGGATGGTGAGTGGTGAGGGCCTGGGTGGGGCGCTGCAGGGAAGAAAGGAAATGCAGACCAAAGACTGGTTGGGGGAGGGTTGGCCACAGTGGTTCCCGGGGAGCCAGACCCCTTTAGTCCAGCGCTACTGGCCTCTGGGTCCTGGCTCCCCCTTAGTTCCAGCTCTGTTCTCTAACCTCGCCACCCTATCCCGTATATCACCCCTAGATGACCACAAGCCCATCTGGATGCATGCAGAGGAGCGGGAAGAAATGAGCAAAGTGAGTTAGGGGCCCAGCCTGAGGAGCCGGGGACTCTCGGGGCCTCTGACTTATTCCTGCACCAGCCCTAGCTTCATGGCGCCTTCCCACACCCAGCCTGCACCCCAGCCCTCTGCCAGCTTGTACCCAGCATCTCTGTACATTCACCTCTGGCTTTCCCTCCCGCTCTGTCCTCCTGCAGAGCCGGCACCGCGAGGGCAGCACACCCTACGCTGAGTATGGAGGCTGGTACAAGGCCTGCAAAGTGAGCAGGTGAGAAGCCGGCATGGGCGTGTGGGCTCCGACGCCCTCCATCGACCCCAGATCCCCCCTCCTGGCCCTTCCCCGGGAAGCCTTGGCTTCCCTTCCTCCCCTCAGCCTTCGCCCTGCTTCCTCTCTCTCCTGCTTGCTTCCTGAGTCCATCTTCTCTTCCTTCCTTGGTCTCCCCCTGCCGCAGCCCCACAGTGAACACGACCTTGAGGAACCTCGGAGCTCTGTACAGGCGCCAGGGAAAGCTGGAGGCAGCTGAGACCCTGGAGGAATGTGCCCTGCGCTCCCGGAAACAGGTCAGGGACCAGGAGGGGAAGGAGGTCCGGAGGCAGGGCCCAGGGGGCACGAGCGGGGCCACTGAGGCTGCTTGTGAGTCGCTGAAGAGTAAGCAGAGGCTGAGGAGGAAGACGGGAGAGGCTGGTGAGACACTCTTGTGGTTGCGGCTGTTTTTAAGTGTGTTCTTACCCCTCACCTGCCCTTTGTGGTTAGGACTCCAAGTTCAAGGTTCACTTCACTAAATGGAACTATTAACAGGGAAAGACTGCCTTTTGACAATGTGAAGAATCTTGTGAGGAGGGGCATGGGCACTGTGGGTGAAGAGGCTGCAGTTGAGAGAAGCTCTGAATCAAGAGTTTCTCAAATCACGAGTCTTGACTCACTGGGTCCTAAAATCAATTCATTGTGGGCCTTGGCTAAAGGTAGATGTGTATCTCTGACACATTGAAAATAGAAAAGGTGAGTGTCTCCTTTCCAGTATGTGTGTAGTCAGAAATCGCAAGGAAAACTCTTTCTTTTGTTGTGGCTGGTAGGGAGAAAAAGTTTAAAGTCCCACCCTGAAGAGTTCAGAAGTGGAAAGTCCCGGTTCCTTCTTTTCCTGCCAGGGCACTGACCCGATCAGCCAGACCAAGGTGGCCGAGCTGCTTGGGGAGGGTGACAGTGGAAGGACCCCCAACGAGGGCCTGGGGGGCAGCGTGAAGTTTGAGGGAGGTGACGATGCCTCGGTGGCTGTGGAGTGGTCAGGGGTAAGTCTGATTATCGCCCCTTGAACTCTCCTGCTTCTCCTTCTGGTGGTGACGAGAGGCTCTGAGCCCACAGGATAGGAGGGCACCTTGTCCTTATCCGAATCCAGCTAGCCCATCCCTCTCGGGAGCCTCTCTGCAAGCCAGCTGTTGACCAGGCTGGGCTTCTGGGGAAGGGGGAGGTGTCCAGAATCAATGGCAGGAATAGACTCAGAGCTCAATCTCCCTGGGATCCCCTTAGCCTCTGTTTCCCATCCCTCTCTGCCAGGATGGCAGTGGGGCGCTGCAGAGGAGCGGCTCTCTGGGCAAGATTCGAGATGTGCTTCGTAGAAGCAGCGAACTCCTGGTGAGGAAACTCCAGGGGTCTGAGCCCCGGCCTTCCAGGTACGCACTGAGGCTGAGATCCAGCAAAGTAGGCAGGGCCCTGGAGAAGTGTCTCAGGAGAGAAACATGGAGGACGTCAGTAGGATGGCCATGGAGAGAGGGTGGGAAAAATAGTGCCCTGGTGCGGGGACAATAGCTAAGCAGATGCTGGGGACTGAGGAAGACGAGTGTGTGTGTGTGTGTGTGTGTGGTGCTGGGGACTGAGGAAGACGAGTGTGTGTGTGTGTGTGTGTGTGTGTGTGTGTGTGGTGTTGGGGACTGAGGAAGATGTGTGTGTGTGTGTGTGTGTGTGTGTGTGTGTGTGGTGGGGAGGTCAGATGGTGAGGAGGCAGTGATATGAGTATGTGTGGTGTGGTGATACCCAAGCGTCCCAAGCTTCAGGGCCACCCGTGGGAAGAGAAGAGGCCTCAGTTCTTTGTTTTCCATCGTAGCAGCAACATGAAGCGGGCAGCCTCCTTGAACTATCTGAACCAGCCCAGTGCAGCGCCCCTCCAGGTGAGAGCAGTGCTCGTTCAGAGTATTGTGGGTGAGAAAGAAAGGACAAACCCAGTGGAAAGAGGGGAGTCACCTGGGATGAAGACTGTCTCAGGGAATTGGAGGTGGGCTGATAGGAATCAGGCCGACAACTTGTTGGGGGTGGTGACCCCAAGGGACACTTTTGGGCCAGAGATAGCAGAAATAAATTAATCAGGAGGGGAACAGGAATTGATGTTCTCTTAATGGGTACTTTAGAATTATGAATAATTAAGGAATGATTTGGGGCTTCAGTGGTAAAGAATCCACCTGCAATGCCAGAGCCACAGGAAATGTGGGTTCGATCCCTGGGTCAGGAAGATCCCCTGGAGGAGGAAATAGCAACCCACTCCAGTATTCTTGCCTGGAAAATTCCATGGACAGAGGAGCCCTGGTAGGCTACAGTCCAGGGGGTTGCAAAGAGTCAGACACAACTGAACGACTGAGCATGCACGCACACAGGGAATGATTCAGGAATAGTAATTGCTCTCCCCCTATAGCTGCCATACTCTTCACCTTGCAGAGTCAGCAGCAGATAAGAAGGAAAAAGGGGAAAAAAAAAAAGTATTACCTCATTTCCATTTGAGAAAACACAGCAATGATATTTTAATGAGAAATGACCACATTCAGAGTATATCCCCATATTCATGTGGTTCTTCCAGGTATATTCCCCACCAGATCTTGGCCTTCTGGGAAGTCCTAGCAAAGGTAGCACAAGCCCTAGAGCTTGAGGTTGAGGTTCCAGACTCCGTCCTAGGTCCTGAGAGAGACCGTAGCCGTGAGATGGACAGACTCCAGGGGACAGTCTTCGGGAACCTGGGGCCTGTGGGCTGATGGCTGGGTGTTGTCTGTTTCAGGTCTCCCGGGGCCTCAGTGCCAGCAGCATGGACCTCTCTTCAAGCAGCTGACATTCAGCTTACACCCCACGTCTGCTGGGTCCCCCCACAGCCCTCACAGCATTCCCTGTTGCTCCTGGCTCTTCCAGCCCCAAGGTGGGACAGTGAAGGGGGAGCAGTTAACCCGAAGATTGCTGCTGCCCTTAGGGTCTCAGCCCCCTCCTCAGGAATCCCCTTCAGGAAGGACCCTCAGGACATCCTCCCCCCACCCTGTGGTCCTCTAGAGTAGCTAGCTCTACTACTAGGGCCCCCAAAGTGGGTAAGAAGCAGGTACGCACCTCAGAGATGCAGCCTGCTGCTGGCTTTTCTGTCAGAGGGCTTGGGGCTGGCCAGCCAACCTGCCTTGCCCTGGCCTGTCTTGTTCCCTCTGCTGCCTCACTTCAGGTCCATGTATTTCACTTTTCTTAAATAAAAGAATCAGGTAACCATTGAGCCACTTGAGTCCTGATGGAGAGGGCAGGAAGCAAGGATTGCGTCGGGGCCCTTCACAGAAGGGTGCAGGGTAGTGATGGATGGGGCAGCAGGAGGAATGTTGCTTCTTGGGTCTCTCCTCTCTTCCTTTCCCTGTTTGTATCCTCTCCAGCAGGGCCTACAGGAAGGCATCTGGGGGAAGGGGGAGGCCCACAACCCAAGGAGAAGGTGCTGTGGACTGGCTTGTCAGGGACATGTGGCGGCCATGTGGCAGGACCCTGGAGTCCTGGCGCCACTGCTCCCGGCCTGTGAGGCCCTCTGTGGCGGCCCCTCCTCCTCCCAGCTGCTTGGGGGAAGGGAGGTCTAAGAAGGCCTGGGGGGCCCTCCTGAGCCAGAGGGGGATGAGGCACTTACTATCCATCCCCTCTCAGCAGATCCTGGAGGCCCAGCAGCAGCTGGGGCCCATCTTCTAAAGCTTGACTCCTCCTGACCCGCCTCCTACACCCCTTGCTGCTTTCACAACAAAGAAAGAATGTGGGGGTGGTGGCGCTGGGGGGTGGGGGTGCCTGGAACAAGGGCGGTACTGGGCCTCCCCACAGCTGGAGACTTGGCCATGCCCTGACACGGCCCAGACCGCTGGAGATGGACTTGGGATGAATTTGTCAGTTTAACAGCCTTCAGTCCGCCGTTCAGAGAGCCCCGTCTCTCTCTACCTTTGGGTTCCGATTGGTCCAGAGCCAAACCAGACACTCACCATGCACTGGACCCCAGGCTGCCTTTCTCCTGGGGCTCCGCGGTAGCTCCGGGTTACCTTGCCTGGGGATACCAAGGACACCATTCGGTTCTAGATCTTCCTTCAGATATCAGGTTGCTGCAAAGTGAGCCAGAGCCCACCCATTCCCCTCCCATCAGAGAATTTGGGGGAACTATTGGCCAGAGCCCTCAGGAAAGCCTAGAACCAACCGTCTTCCCCAGGAGCCACGGAATCACAAAAGTCCCTTTAGGTCCCCTGAGTCCCCTGCACACGAGGTGGTAGGCGCAGCATCCGCTCCCCGACCTCGATCAGGTCCCCACACTCGCCCGCGCCTCCTCCACTCCATCCACTCTCCATCTCCAGACCCCTCCCCCAACTACGAGCTCCTCCCCACAACGGCGGGGAGGGGGCGTCGAGGGGGCGGGGCGCCGCGCGGCGCCCAGGAGAGGAGGGGGCGTCGCGGGGCGGGGCTTGGCGGCGGCGGCGGCGCGTTAGGACTCTGAGATACGGGGCGCGCGCAGCTCTAGCTCGGGACGCCTCCGGCTCGGGCTCCGGCTGCGGCTGCGGCTGCTGCAGCTGCGCCCGCGCTCCGGTGCGCTCGGCCTCCTGGGCCCGCCGGGGATCGCTGACCGCGAGCCCGCCGTGCGCCCGCGCGCTCCCTTCCCCGAGCCCGCCGCGATGGGAGCCGCGCGCGGAGCCCCGAGCAGCCCCTGCCGGCTGCCTCTGCTCAGCGTCCTGCTGCTGCCGCTGCTGGGCGGTGAGTCCCGGCGAGCTGGGGGAGCGCGGGAGCCCCGAGGGCCGAAGAGGGCACCGGGGAGGTGGGCTGGGGCGGAGCAGACACCGTGCGTGGGTCAGGGGCTCGCTGGGGTTGGGGGGGCGGGGTCCTGGCCGCCGGGAGGTGGCGAAGCCCCCGCTCAGTCGGCCGGGGCCCCTCTCGCCCCGCGCCCGCGAGGACGCGTTTCCAGCCTCCCCAGAGTTTTCCCGGCCTGAGCCGAGAGTTTGCTCGGGAACTGCCGGGAGTTGCCGACTCCCGGGCTCCAGTGTCGCGTTTCTCTGCGGGGGAGAAACGACTACCTCCCACTTAGGGGGTGCAGCGCGGTGGCTGGCGGTGGGGGAGACGGGGTCTCCCTGGCAGGCTGAGCCTAGGTAAGGGAGGCCGGCCCGGGGCTGGATGCGGGACCGACCTGCGGTGCGCGGAGCGCACGGAGCTTTGTTACCTACGCCGGCCCGACGCTCCCGGCTTCCCTTCTCTAAGTTCCTGGGCCAGGCTGGGTCCCGGACCGCCCCGATGGTGAGGGCGGAAGAAGGGAAGAGTGAGGGGCCGTCCCATCTCCAGCTCCCGGGCCCGAGTCCTGAGCCCACTCCCGGCCGGAGTCGGATCTGGGAGCTGAGAGTCCCGGGCTGTCGCGGTGACTAATGTGTGAAGGCCGCTGCCAAAATCGGGCATGGCCGGCCTGCAAAGGTGCGGACGGGGTTGGTTCTGTCTCCTTCCTCAATTCTCATTCTCTCTCTCCCCAGCAAGGAAAGAAACTCTTTCTACAGGCAGAAAGGAAAAAAAAAAAAAAAAAGTTCATTCTGGCTTCTTGGAGAGCCTCAGGCTTTTGATGAGGGTGTGGCCCCTATCTCTAGGGCCGACTGGACCCGGCCCTCTTCTCCCCCGTCCCCACCCCCGCCTTTATTTCCTGACTTGGTCACACCTGAGAGTCATCACTGAGGTGTTGAAGTGCTTCGGAGGAAAGCGCCAAGCTGCCCGCACACCCCCAAACGCTCTGGAATGGAAGTATGCCTCCCTGCCCCGTCCGGTCCCCCACCCTTACAAAACCCAAAATCCTTGGCGATGATCCTCGCAGCAGCCCTCTCTGGGGAGACTGTGCCCAGGAGACCTGGTCTTAGCTTATCACTTTCCTGGGAGGCTGGAGGCGGGGGTGGGTGGGTAGAGAATTGCCTTTGCTGAGGTCTCCCTGGCCTGCCAGCTGTTGAGGGGATTTAGTGTTGATGTTAACATCTCCCCTACCCCGGGTTGTAAAAGGAAAGAACAAGTTCCCTGAGTTAGTAGGAGGTGTTCCTTGAGCTGTGCTATGGTCCTTCTGCCGTGTGGGGTGGTCATGCTCATGGCAGAACCCACATCTGCTCCCAGAGGAAGTAGGGAAGTTTTTTGCACAGCCAGAATGGGAGTGGGGGGGTGCCCAGCCATATGGGCTGGCAGCCGGAGCTCACAGGCTTCCTAGGTCTTCCTAGGCTGTTGGGGTTTTGGTGTGTGGGGTGCCAGATAGGGCTGCCTCCACTGCTGAAGTTTCTAGAGTTCTGGGGGAGATTCTGGTGGAGACAGGGCTCACATTCAACAAATGCTAAATTCCTTCCGTGAGAAGACAACCCTGATGTTAATCAATGTTAATCCGGTGACGGGTGTTTAGCGGAGGGAGGGGTCCTGGTGGGGGGAGTTAGGGCAGGCTGCCGGCTGGGGACTGGAGGTCTGGAATATCCTCTGGGGGTGGGGAGATGTCTTGTGCTCAACAAAGGAACATTTTAATGAGAGCCTTAAATCAGTTCCACCAAATGTGTCTTGGTGTGGAACCTGCCCGTGTGCTGTAAACAGTTTCGGCTGAGGCCGAGGCGCCTGCTGTCTGTCTGCTGGTGAAACCCAGCGGGCTCAACCTGCCCCTGGACAGCATGACTTCAGGGGGCAACAATTTTTTTTTTTTAAAATAGATTACAGTAAGTTTTTCCATCTCATTGTTAAATTGTGTAATTAGCTGGAGAGGTAGTGAGACCCCACTGTTAATAAAGTAAGAATAAGGGACCTAGGTTGGCTAGGTTTGTGGATTAGGCCATTTTGAAGTTTGGGTAATTATGCTGTAAAGGCTGAAGGACTTTGCGAACTTTGAGATCCCCATTGTGATAAATATGGTGGAGGAGGAGGAGGAAAGGACTTGATGTTTGAAACCTGGGATTCTTCTCCCCACCATCGGAATGGTCGGTTGTGGTCATTACCCATCCCTGTTCCCACCCTGGTCTCTGGGTTCTTTCCTCCAGGCTCTTGTTTCTTTGGAGAGATTGAGTTGTTACGTCCTGAGATTATGCAGCCTGTAATTCAGGCCATTTGTCAGTGACGGGCTTTTCTCAGATGTTGGAATGTATGGCGGGCGGGCACGGGTAATCTCTGCCCATTGATTGCCAAAGGATCTAGTCAGACTCCTGGCATTCAGAGCAGGGTTGAGTGGTAGAGAGGGCCCAGGCCGTGGGGATGAAGTGTTTGGCAGAACGGCAACTCGGATCCTTTGACAGGCCCTGTGGCCCTGGCAGGCTTCTTGACCTCACAGTTTGCCTCCTCTCTGAAGGGACTTACTTCCTGGAGTTGTGCTGAGGATTAAATGTAATGAAGTATATAAAGGGCCCCTTTCTTGTGCTTCCCTCTCCTGTGGTGTGCTGCCAGCATACCTTTCCAGCTTTACAGTCACCCCCAACAATAAACATTTTCCACTCACCGGAGCCCTCTGTTCCAGCCCAGCTAGTCTCTTTCCCATCCCCAAAAACACCCAGGGGTTTGCAGACCTTGCTCTCCTCTCTGGCCCATCTGGTATGTGCCCATCCCCACCTCCACTTCCTCCCCGAAGCTGTCCCCCCATCTCTCCTGCTAGAAGGTGGATGCTTGGAGAACCTCTGGACCCTTAGTCCATCTTCCATATTTTTGCCCCCCCTTGGGTTTTTAACTTACTGAAGGGATTTACTTACTGTAGAATTCATTGCCATATCTTATTTATAATAGATCCTTATCTAGGTTTATTAAAAAGTGGATGAAGCTTTTGGGTACAGGGCAGAGTGACCATTGGCGGAGGTAAGCAGCCCCTTTTCTTGCTGGGCTGTGTGTTGGGGGGCGGTGTTTGTGTCCTTTCCCCACTTCCCTGGATTGGTGTTGCCTGCCCTACTGTGACCCAGCTAAGACACCTGATAGGTCTTCCTTCCCTGTCTCTGAGCTCTCTGTTCTTTGTGGCAGTTTTCTGAGTTTTGATGGCAGGGTTTTTCTCCAGGGTTTGGGCATCCACCTCCACGTAGGAAACTGACCTGCCTGGAAAGGCCGCAGCTCAAACCCTGTGAGCTCTGTGGGGGCTTAGGTTATCTACAACTTTGCCACTCAAAACAAGGTCCACAGAGAAGTGGCATTAACATTCTCTGGGGGCATGAATCGGAGTCCCAATATGCATTTTAAAAAAAATTTATTTATTTTATATTCGCTTGGACCAAGGTCTCAGTTGTGGCCACTCTTCGACCCTCATTGTGGTGTGTGGAGCCTTTCATTTGCAGCAAGCGAACCCTTAGTTGCAGCATGTGGGATCTCGTTCCCTGCCCAGGGATGGAACCCAGGCCCCCGGGTTGGGAGCATGGAGTCTTAGCCATGGACCACAGGGAAGCCCCTCAGTCTGCATTTTAACAAGCTCCCAGGTGACCACACCGAATGTTCTAGGAGTCTACCCTCAGCATCCCTCCTTGCTTAGAAACTCAAGGGACAGAGCCTTCCTGTTGCAACAGTACAAAGCGTGGGCCCAGATCTTGCACAGTATTTAAAGACTGACCTTAAGTAACTTTTAGTTCATGTGAACACTCTCCAGCGTGGTGTGTACACTTAAGAATGACCTCCCTTCGGGTTGAATTTGAATTAGGTTTTGCCAGGACATTTGTCCATTAAAGGTGTGACTCCGGAGGGTTTGCAACACTAAGTGTGAAGTTCAGTTCCTCGGGGAGTCTCAGCTTTTCCTAGAGGAGTATGTGTAACATTTTACAAGAGCCGGTGGAGAAATCGGATTTGTTCGTCAGGAGTTTGGTCCGTAGAGGACTTTTCAGGAACACGTATGGTTCACAAAGGGAGGCAGTGTCTCTGCTAGGCTGTAACAGTCGTAGTTGTTAAAAGTTTTGGAGGATTTCATATTTTGGAGTGAGGCGGGTTTGGGTGGGTTGTATGTGTGTGTTTAAGCCAGGGGCAGCTTCTGTGAAGGAGA